CTCCGAAAACAAAGGAGAAGGAGCAAAGCACGATCAGAAATTCTTGGAAGGGGTGGGGAAATATGGAATCGGGGAAAACCAACCTAAAAAAAGACAACTCAAGCTGACTTGAAAAGTAAAGTCAGTTTCTACCGGGATATAATTAAAAGTCCAAAGGAAAGGTGCTTTGACAGAGAACAGGAGTCTGCCATTGCAGTCACTTCCATCTTGTGTGTCAGCAAAAGGTGCAAATCATTGTGCCCCTAGGACTGTGTTCCCTTTCCTCTACTGTCCTTGGATTCTCCTGTTCCCTAGGCAAACAGCTGCTTTCTCAGACTGGCTTTCCTCATGGCAACATAATGGCTGCAGCAGGTCTAGCCCTTACACTCTCCTCCCCCCATCCCCTACCCCAAACACGCATACACACACACACATACACACACACACACACACACACACACACACACACTGTCCAGATGCAGCTCCTGAGTCTCCATGAGAAATGCATGGAAGAGGAGTCCCAGCTTTTGAAAACCAAGAAGCAGAAACCTGTCTTTGAAAGAAGCCCTACCAGCCCTCATCACCCTCGGCTCGGATGAGACCTTGGTCTTGGCCAGAGGAGGTGCCTCTCTATGCCAGGGAAGGGTGGCGTAGGCTCTGCTGCAGTCAGGAGCCCCTCTCAAGGCCTGCTGGCTTCTCGCAGGACTTTCCAGGGCAGCCATGTCCTGTGTGGGATGCCTCGGGGACCCGGGCAGCAGTCCTCACCCTCCTGCACCTTGCGCATAACGTCCCCAGATGCCAGCCCCACTGGGAGCCAACCACAAGCCTCCCCCGAGGAAGTGACCCCTGGCCCTTGGCTCCTGAGTCCCTGGCCAAAAAAATAGGATCTCCTGGCCCTCTCGAGCTTAGACCTGGGGCAGGCAAGCGGGTACAGCCCAGATCCTGGGGGACACGGGGAGCACCCGCAGCACGGAGAGAGGCCTGCCAGGTGCCACACCTGCCTGCCACCCTGCCACCAGGCTCTGGGGATCCCCCTGCCCCGCGATGGACGCTTGGAGCTGGTTTCTGGAGGTGGGAGGAGGCTGCCGTGGAGAGATGGGCTGCTGCCGCCCGGGTTCCATGCGGGACTCAGTATTTTCAATAATACTTTTGTGAGTTCAGCCTCAAAGTAAATGGTTAATTCATCTTGTATCAACAGCACTGTGATTCATAATGTAAACTCGGGAGAATCCTTGATGTTTCAGGGCCCACATTCCTTTTAATTTGGCTCTGCATTCTTTTTAAAGCCACAGTGCGCTGGCTTAATAGAATGCAGCATGCAAATGCACAAGTTTCTGCCTGGAGGCAATTTAGCCCGGCTGTGTCAATGGATGTCTTCTTTCAAGTGTATATTCTTTCTTAAATTATTTACTGGGTAAACACACTTTGCATTTTCAAAAGGGAGATTAGGACCGCTTGCTGCAGACCTTTGCGCTTGAACTTAAAGCCCTCCCTTGCCCCCACCCCCCAAGTTCGGGGGAAGTTACTTGGGTTTGCCCCCAACTGCCCCTCCCCACTCCCCCGCACTGGGCACCCACGTCCTGGTACCTTCGGATTCTCGCCACATCCCTTTCTTCTTTGCCTACAGCAATACCTGCCTTGGCCGTGGCAGCCTGCAGCCCTCCTCACAGATGGGTCCCCCGCACTGCCAGCCTTTGTCTCCCTCGGGCTGGCTCAGTCCTCTTCACTCGGCGCCCCGACTCCAGCCTCTTATCTGGTCCTCCGAGGGGTTGTGTCTGCCCAACACATTTGGGATCCAAAACTAGGTTGCTCGGCTTGCCAGCATCAAACTTCCTTCCAACTCTTCTCTGTTCCAACTCCTTTCCGCCCGCTCTACCCTTTATCCCAAACATCTGCCAGTGGAACCAGGAGAGAACTTCCCTGCTGGCCTCCCCCCGCCTTCCGTTAGAACCCTCACTTCCATCAGGACCCCCACTACCATCAGCACCACCCAGCCCCACAGAGGAGACCCAGCCACGGGGGGCAGGTCCCAGCCGGGCGCCTTTCCTTCCACTTGAGCTTTTCTGCACGGACTCCAGATTTCCCAGCAAATGTTCTCTACTCAGAATTCCCCTGGGAACGAACGGCAGCCGGGCGCGTGGTCACTATAATCAGCCCCGTGGGCAGGATGGCGCCCAGGCTCATGGTCACTAACATCAACCCTGTGAGCGGGGTGGTGGCAGGGCACATGGTCACTATAATCAGCCCATTGAGCAAGGTGGTAGTTGGGCTGTGGTCACTATCATCAGCCCTCTCAGAGGAATGATGGCCAGGCGCATGGTCACTATAATCAGCACTGTGCACGGGATGGCGGCCGGGCGCGTGGCCACTACCATCAGCCCTATGAGCGGGATGGTGGCCGGGTGTGTGGTCATTACCATCGGCCCTGTGAGGAGTGGGGTGTTAACTGGGCATGTGGTCACTACCACCAGCCCTGTGAACAGGATGGCGACTGAGCACGTGGTCACTACCATCAACCCTGTGAACAGGATGGTGGCCGGGCGCGTGGTCACTACCACCAGCCCTGTGAGCGGGATGGTGGCCAGGCATGTGGTCACTACCATCAGCCTTTTGACAGCAGAACAGCAGCCCTCCTCCCAGCAGCTATAGGGCCAGAGAAGCAAAGGCTGCAGACCATGTGGTCAGCTTGGGAGAAAGGGGACGGCTGAGTCTTTGACCCACAGTGAAGTGTGGCTTAGGAGTAGGTTCCGTGCCTGCAGGGGGCTTGGCTGACCCACATGGGCTCCTAGGAAGAGCTGGGAATCGGGGAGCCCATTGCTCTTTGCCTTGGGGTTCCGGAAGGACGGGGCTCCTAGGAAGAGCTGGGAATCGGGGAGCCCATTGCTCTTTGCCTTGGGGTTCCGGAAGGACGGTGCAGAGACCCAGGCAGGGGTGCAGGGTAGGGGGAGGCTGGAAGTTGCTGGCACCTTCCTTTCCCAAACATGCCTCAGATGAGACAAGCAACACCCATGGTTAATCCTTCGTAAATTAGCATCGTGGCTGCCTTGGGGCCCTCAACCCGCAAATAAAATGGTTGTCAACCCAGAGACCCACTGCCGTATATTACTGACGGCAGAATTTTAAAGAGTTTTTCATGCTTTTAATCTGTTTCACTGCCGAGTTTCAATTTTGCTGATTCCCTTTGCAAGCTTGATGCGGGTGACTGTGGTAAATAGAGATTTTGACAGTGTCTTGGGCAAAAGGCATGTGGAGGAACTGTTCTGAAGTCTCTGCCCTTCCGGGGGTTGGGGGGGAGGGGGAGGAAAATCAATTTGGGTTTTAAATTGAGCCACCGAGAAGCACCGATCAGTGTTCATAATTAGCCTCACTTTAACAAGCTGCGAAGTCCCCGTTCTTATTTATTTATTTGCGGGACAGAGACCCTCCCTGCCTCCCGAGTAAATCGGGCCGGTTAAATCCGAATGAACTGTCATCGCGGAAGAATTAATGTCGGGGCGCAGCCTTTCTAGTGAGGAAGGGAAGAAATCAGCGAGACAGATCTCAGCGGAGCCTTCCGTGATAAATGAGGACCGGGTGGACCATTCATCTCCTTCCAGCCAAGTGGACACAGGCGCTAAAGCATTTTTGCGGAAGACGTGTCAGCAAATGTGATCATTTTGTAACCTGTCAGGAGGAGAGGGAGCTGGTCCTTGCGGGGGGCCGGGAGGGAGTGGGCTGGGCTGCCAGGACCATCTCCAGCCATCCGTTTAGGTCTGGGGGCGAAGGGCTGGGAGCAGGAGGAATCTGACTGAAGCCGTGGGGTGCTGTCCCCTTGCCAGGGAAGCCGCTTGGGACAGCTGCAGACACCTTGCAGAGATTTCTCCTCAGAGATTGCGGGATCTCAGCTGAAGCAGGCGCCCCCGGGCTCCCCCCGCCTCTCCCCAAGGCCCTGCCCACTCTGCAGGGTCCCTTGACTGCACTGAGTGTCAGACCTTTGCCTCCTGTTTGGAGGGTTTGGGCAACTGGTACTGGCCAAGGGAGCCCAGCAGGGTGGACAGCCAGCTCGCCCTGCCACCTCTGGAGCCCAGGTGTGGGCGAGGCAGCTTGACCTGGCTGCCCTTCGAAAGGCTCCACAAAGCGTTCTGATGTCCGGTCTCTTTCACTCTGCATCAGGGAACAAATTCCGAAACGACTTCATCAGAGAGAGAGGAAGTGGCTTGGACTGTGGGTCTCCACTGCTTCTTCCCACTCCTGTCACACTCGGCAGAAATTCAGGGGGCTCGGGGTGGTGGGGAGGCAGGGTCTTCCCTTGCCAAATCAAAGTGCAACTGGCTACTTGCTATTCCTTCTCATTTCCATCCTGGGGGGTTGTTTTGGGGTTTGATTGGGGCGGGGGGAGGGGGCGCCATTTTTTTCCACTCTGGGGCAAATGTTGTATTTCTCCCTGGCGGTCCCAAGCCTGAGCCCCCTGACAGGTGACAGTTTCGCCGCCCAAGCAGCAAGTTTGACACTTGCTTCTTAATCCTGTCCTTTTCTCCCAAAGTCTCTCGGTTACTTTTCCCGGGGTATTTTTGTGCAGGTAAGTACCTTACTGACAAGTGTTTGCGTGGAGCCTTTTACTTTACCAGGAAACAGTGAAGGGAAGGAAAAAAAAGAAAGCTTTGTCTCACCTTTTAAATTAAAAAGAGAAGCTTGCATGGGGCCCTTGATCACTGCCAGATCACAACACGAGACTCCAGACTTCCTCGAAGGCCGTTTGATTGGCCTTAGCTTGGCAGGCAGCGTTTCTCGAGGGCAATGTGACACACTCTGTGGAGTCGTTTGTGGAACTAAAAGGCTGCGGAGTCGCACGCACCTGCACGCACATCCATGTGCGCACACACATACAGGCGTGTACACATCCAGATTCACTCCATACCCCCCCCTCCTCCGCCCCCTCCCCCGGCAGAGCAATCCTTTGAGCAGTCAGCGTGGTGTGAGCTGGGCTTTTGCAGAATGTCCTGTGTCCCCCTGTGATCTCTTTCTCCTCTGCTTTCTCCTAGAATCATCCAGAACCGCATCCTGCTTGTCATCTTGGGTACCATTCTGGTCATCACCATCCTGACGGCAATCACTCTTTCTTTTCGAAGACACTGATGTATCAGCCCTTCCTTGATAAACAGCAACAAAGGCGTGTTCTGAGTAATTAAGACAAAATGGTCACATGAATCATTCCTGGGCACTGACAGGCCCGCGCGACCTTCCCTCCCCTCCCCCGCCCCACGGACGTGCACACAGTGTCTGTGTCTGTCCGCGTGGGGGGGCGCCTCCCTCCCCCAGGCTTGTCTTCACCCAGATTTGTTTTTGAGAGGGGGATGGTGACTGTTTCTTTCTTCTTTTTTTTCTGGTAATGTCTTCTACTGACGAAAGTCCCTTTGATGACCTTCCTCGTCCCATAGCCATGCAGGGCCACAGTCTGGGAGAGGACTTGGTGAGTCCATAGGAACTTACACATTCTTGGGGCTTCTGAGACGCGGTCCCGTTTGCCCTCTGACATGTCACCAAATTGCCCTCCGTGATGTCTTGAGGATAAATATGCAGGAGAGATGGGGCCCAGAGCCAGCTACCGGCTCCGGCACACCAAACCCCCATTCCCACCCAAACCAAAGGGTGATGTCTCCATGTCTGAGTGCTTCCAGTGACTTGGGTCAGCAGTGCCGAAAGTGCAGGAGTGAACAGTACTGGCCCTGTTTCTCTAAGATATATATATTATATATGTTCTTCTTTTTTTTTTAACCTCAAGACAATTTCTCACCTGAGTCCGTCCAGTATAATTTTTTTGCCTTCCCCCAAATCCCCTGCTGCCCTGAATTTGCCAGCAAAGCGAGCCCTGGTATATCGTGGTGACCTCCCGCCCCCCGGCCTGTGTAAGCATCTCCGTGTCCTCTCCGTTTTAGTATCTGTGCTGCCGAAAGCAGCCCTCCTACACGCAGAAGGTCTGATGGGGTCTCTGCACATCCACCCCAGTATGTAAAGAGAACATGAATATTTCAGCACGAGCAAGAACATGTCTTGTCCATGTGAGATTCCAGATATGATTATAAGTATGGCCGAGTCCTATAGGATGAGCTACTCGAACTAAACTTTTTGGACAATGCTCACCAACCTCCTTATTTGAAAAAAAAAGAAGAGGAAGAAGAAAAAGAAGGGATCATAGCATCGTCTAAAAGGATGGGGGTTTGGCTTTTGTTTTATTCTTTTTAACTAACAAGTGTCAGCGCGGCCCTCCTGAAGCCCCGTGTGTTCAAACAGCTCCCATGCTCTGTGATTTCTTTTTTGTTTCTTCCTGTCCACTGTAACAGGGAATCATGTTCAAATCAAGCTCCTTAATGACTCCGCTGGGGTCATGTTCCCCACCCTACCCCTCACTCAGAAAGCAAAATAGATGTTTCTTAAGAGTCCGTCCGTTCTTCCCCGTCCCGTTCTTTCTTTTGGATTTAATTGAAGGCATTCGCTCCTTGAAATGCAAACCCTCTGCTCATTACAAGTGCTAACCACCTCTGCCCCCAGAGGAGGGCTTCCCCCCAATACCTGGGCATAGTGTTTGATTCTCCCCAAGCCCCTCAACTCAGAAGAGAACGGCTCTGGTTTGGAGAGGAAAGGCAGGTTGGCAAAACCCACCAGAGAAATGGTTCTTCTCGAAACAGGCTGGGGCCTGCGTGGGTTCAGATAAATCATTTAGTATTGTGTAAATAAAGCTGCGGCCTTTCCTTCCCGAGACCGGTGTGGGATTCGGGCTGAGCGAAGTAGGGCAGCCGAGTAGGGGGAAGCCGGGCTGGTTTTCCTATCCGACGAAGAGATCCGTCTCCGCCGGAAGCTTTCACTCACCTAACAGGCTTCAGGATGTGCAGAACACATTGGAGAAGCCTCCAGCAGGCAAGGAAACCTGCCACCTTCTTGTTCCGAGGTGCTTCTGGTGGGAACGGACTTGCTGCCCACACAGCTGGGCTTGGGCAGCGCCACCCCAACCCTGGAACCGTTATGTGAGTGAAAGTGGCCACCCAGCACCACCTCAGGAACTGGGTCCATCGGATCCTGGGAGCCCACCAGCTCCTATGGACTCCACAGAAATCCTGCACTCACATAGAGGAGGGTGCTCACCCCTCAGGGGCCTTTCATTGTGGTTCCCGGGTTCATATGGGTCTTGGGGATTCCCCCCCACACCCGTTGCAACCTGGTTTGTGGAAGAAGATGAGCTTATTGGGCTTGGCCTGGCCACTCCATCTAGCCCACGCCCACCTTGGGGGGCCCCAATACCTCTGCTTGGCCCTCTCAGAATTAGCATGAGAGAGTTGGGGGGACCCCAAGGCCAGCAGATAGTTCTCTCTCTTTCCACTAACCACCTGGCAAGTAAAAACACCCACACCTCCGTTCGTGGAAAGTTCTAGAGACGTGGGGACTCCGCTCATGACGAGATAGAAGGCTGGGGGGGGGAGGGGGCGGCGCTATTATTTAAAAAATACAATGGCTGTTGGAGGTGGGGGTCGGGGGAAGATGGAGGCTTGGGGAAGGGAGGGAGGCCACCTGAAATCTGCGCCTACAACACCACCATCGCCCCAGCAGAATAAATAAAGCCACCTTGCCCCAGAATCCTCAAGCAGTTTAATTAAATCCTCTTCCATGGCCAAGAGTTTTCAGTGTTCCGCGGCAGAGCCGAATGCAGCGGGCTTGACGTCAGTGGCCGGCCTGGGCAGGGAGGCCATTTGCTATTCTGTTTCAGGCAGACTGGATTGTCTTATTTTGGAACCAGCTTGGTGGGGGGTTTGCTTTGCTACTGCTTCTGAGCCCTGAGCTTCAAAGGCTGAAATTAATGGTGAACAAAATTGTGCGGCTCTGGCTGTCCCATGCGGGGCAGGCCCACGGAGGGTTATCATTAAGTAAAGAAATAAAGGGGGGGGAGCCCGCCTGTTCCCCAAACCTCATCAGATAATGACCTCGGTGATTGGGTTTTCATTACCAAACAGCATCCAGAGATTAGGTGCCCCCTAGAAGAAGGGAGGAAAGAAGAAAAGAAAGAAAGGGACGCCCCATACACACACACACACACACACACACACACACACCCTCTCTCTCTCTCCTTCTCTTTCTCCTTTTTTTTTTTGCACATCTTTTCTTTAAAACTGTCAGATCATTTCAGTATTTCAAATCCGAGGAAAACAGCCTGCCTACTGCTGTATTTGAAGTTGTAATGGTGTCAAAAAGTCACAGCTGACTGACAGCCGTCAGTCCCAGAGGGGCTCATTAAATCATAAAAACTTGACAAGGAAATAATTGCGCATCGCCAGCAACTTGGCGCCTGTTTAGACGTTTTTATTTTCTTTCATTATTAGCCCCCTCCATTACGTTCATTAACAAATTGCATTAAACAACTGTTAAGGGCTAATGATTTGTTTATCGCTTTTATTATTATTATTATTTAAACATTAGCTGTATGTCACGGGCTACCCCAGCAGTCTCTTGCCATCATCTGACTGAATATTTTTCTACTCCGAGCTCTGGGTACTGTTGGAATATGAAATAGATTATTCATTACTCTCCTCTTTGCCACTGATTTGGTTTCATGTAGCGTCTTCCACAGAGAAAGATGAAAACTTGTCAAAAATAGGTTATATCTTATTCGAAGGGGCAACAATAGCGGCCGGTACAGGCACACTTTAATATTTAATTAAGGTTGATGTTAACCCCTTTAAATGACTTTAGCAGTAAGTTCTATTCAAATGCGGGAGAGAGAAATAATTGTTCTTAATTTGCAACCTGTTCGGCAACCATTCTTCCTGGAGTTGGCTGGAAATTTAGAGTCGAATTTTTTTTTTAATAATGAAATTTCCGAGCATAAATATTTATAGCCATTTGTCGACGTCGCTGAGAACGAACTACAAGTGATGATGGTCTCGTCACTTTGGTTTGAACCACTGGCCCGCTGGGTCCTCAGTGTTCGTGAGTAGAGACGGCTTTTCTGGGCACGATGCGTTGGTGGTTGATTGGCCATGGTGGGGGCTGGTTTCAGAGGAACCAGCTGTGAGCCTCCTGTCCCCTACCCTCACCCCCACCCCCATTAGCTGAGGGTGCGATTGGAGGACCAGGGTGGCACAGCAAGCATTAGATCAGGTAGGGACATCATCCAACTCACTGCCAACAGTGCTCCTCTCACAGACAGCAGGAGCCATGCGTTTCTGTCTTTTCTCCTTCCAGTCTCTCACCAGGGGGTAAAATGATGGGCTCGGGGAATGATGAGCTCAAGTGGGGGAAAAGCTCGTGGTTCTCATCATCAACCCCCCATCAGAAGTCAGTGAATTCTCCAGGCCATGTCTGCCCCCAGCACCTGGTCATCCTGTTTGATTCAGGGAGTTCTCGGACCCCTGGAAACTGCCCTCAGAGGCCTGGTTCACAGGCACTCGGAGGTTCGGGTGTGCTGACCAAGAGCAAGAAATGGGGAATAAGGGCTGGAGCGATAGTATAGCAGGTAGGGCGTTTGCCTTGCACGCGGCCAACCTGGGTTCGATTCCCAGCATTCCATACGGTCCCCCGAGCACTGCCAATAGTAATTCCTGAGTACAAAGCCAGGAGTAACCCCTGTGCATCACCGGGTGTGACTCTAAAAGCAAAAAAAAGGAAAAAAAAGAAATGGGGATTCATCTCTCCCAGAGTATCTACTCCCTGACCCATCCCCAGAGAGCCCAGACCCCAGAGGCTGCCATGAGGAAAGGAGATGGTGTGTGGGTGGGCCTCGCTGTGCTCTTCCCAGACAGAGGGTCCTGCAGGGAAGCCACGCCTTGAGACTCCTCTCTCGCTGCAGACCTCCCAGGGTGGGTACGGAGAAGAGGAGGGGGTCAGGTCTCGGGTATCTAGTCGAGTCCACTCCATGTGACACATGACACTGGTTCGGCCCACTGAGAGCCACGTGACCACCGGCCACCTCTGGGGTGGCCTCCATGCCTCACCAGAAGGCCTGCTCACAGTCCCCTTCCCAGAAAGATGGAAGTCTGCAGGGGCGCCTCCTGGTCTCGCTCTGAGAGGCAATGCTCTAGGCACTGCCCGGGACTAGAAACCAGCCTTCCTTCTTGATGCCACGCCGTGTTGCAGGCCTCTCACCTTCCTCCTGATACATCTCCCTCCCACCCGCAGCCTGTTGAGCTCCACCAGATGGTAGCTCTCAGACATGATGGCTGCCTGTGGTAGAACAGGGTGTGTGACTGTGTGGAACGTTCAGGAACATTTCTAACAGCATAGGTGGGTGGTGCCCTCAAGAAGGGAGATGTTGACAGATTGCCAGGAGCGGCCGTGACCAGAGCCAGGATACGTTGAGGGAGCCAGTGATGGGGAGCGCTGTGGGAGACGCCCCAAGACACCCCATCACCCTCAGGATTTGGATCAATAGCAAAGTAAAGGTTCCAGAGATAAACAAGATGGCAGAGTCAAGTCAAGATGATGTGCTTTTTTTTTGTTATGCCCAAAGATGCACACGGGTACTCCTGGCTTTGCACTCAGGAATTACTTCTGGCGATGCTTGGGGGACCATATGGGATGCTGGGAATCGAACCCCGGTCAACTGCATGCAAGGCAAACGCCTTCCCCGCTGTATATTATCTCCAGTCCCCTAGCCAAGAAGAGGAAGTTTGAAGCAAACAAGGTCCAGGTGAAGAAGGGATTCCCCAGAACTCAGGGGCTGGAACTGGGTAGTGGGAGACTCATCCAAGGGGGCATTCAAGAGGGAGGGACAGTGCATCCCACTTTGTACCACTCTGGGCCCACCAGTACCCCTCTCCGGGAAGACGCAAAAGGAGGAAAAATAGGGGATCATTTCTTCCAAAGAGGAGAAATGCAGGGTGCTGGGTGCTTCTTCCAGCCCAAAGCACACAGCACTCCTGTCCCGGAGCCTCGGGGCTCCCAGCTAAGAGGATACACTTCCTGTATCACCTGCCCGCAGCACTGTGAATAACAAGGTGGGGTACCAGGAAGCCGAGCTCTGTGAACTCCTGCACCCAGCCTCCCTTCATCCAAACAAGGCCCTTTGGCGTAAATAACAGCTTGGCGGCCCTCAGCCGTATTGATCGGCTCCTCGCCAGCCCTCACCGAGACAGCGCCCGCAGCCTGGACTTTTCCTGGGAGCAGCGCTTGCTGCCCGCTATGGCCCACCCCCGCCCAGCGTCCCCCGGCTTGCAGGAGGGGACAGACGGAGGTGGGCAAGACCCCTTCTCCAGCTCAAGGCCGCCTGGTTTTCAAAGCGTGATGGTTTTTAACTCGTTTTGCCAGGAAAAGTGGAAGGACTGAGGAGAAATTTTATTTGGGGGGTAGAGGGGGGAGTGTGGGGTGGAGGGGGGGACAGGATGAAGCCCCCACAGAAAAAGTGAGGAAAAAACTACATTATCAGGCTTTAGCTTCTCTCCCAGAGATTGTGGCAG